AGATAATGAAAGGCATTTTCAGAATCCTTGAATTTCATTATAACATGAGAAATTGGTCCAAGCATTGTTTTAACTATATCATCTATTAAAATAGCAAAACAGTCATATGGTGGGGCGTATGTTTGTTCATCATTATTTCCGAATTTAAAACTGACAGAATCTAACCATAATCTTAAACCGTATTCTACGCATACACCTAAACACAAATTACAGTTTTTACATTTAATAGAATTGGACGATGTCCAATGTTTATTTCTAATATAGATTGATACTTTGTCAAAGTAGCAGTCATCTTCTTGAGGATGAAAAACTAAATTGTCTGTTCCTCCATGACAAAACATGTGATCCACTTCATATAACTCCACTGGTAAGACTCTACGAAAATTAAATGATTTTGTGTCAAATAACTTCTGGCATGAGCAACATGTTATGAAGACTTCTTCAGCACTTTTCACTTCAGGCATGTATTTGGGTRTGAATGAAAAGCAAGAAGATTCAGTTTTGGGACAACTACTTAACTGAGCACGAAATAACAATTTATTGCCATAAACCTTGATATCTCTAACTTCATCTTCTTCAAGTGTATATTCTTTAATGTTTAAAATGTATACGTCTTTTTCTGCTAATGTTATAGTAATTGATTTTACATYAATTTCGATGTCATAATCGATAGGTACATTATCAGAAAACGTTATATAAACTTGACATGATAATACATATATTTCAAATTCAATACATACATGTTTTATGTGCATTTTGAAATATGAAAACGATTTTAATTTACAGCATCGATAAAAACAGTCCGTTTATGTTAATAAACTAATAAAAACTATTAATATTCAATTTAAAAGTAGCGATTGATATAATCATTAATCTGATAAATAGTTTATTTTAAAAACTTTTAAATTCCGGATCCATGAGAGACGAAGACTAGAGTGAAGAGTCAAGATTTAAAAAATTAGAAGAATCGAATTTAAAAAAAACATTTAAGCTCAACTTAAAACCATAACCTCAAATCACAATATTTTATGTATTAAACACGTCTTATCAACTACCTCTTTTAGATTTATGAGTTCTTTGAAAAGAGATAAGTACATATTCGTGTTGGATACCTATCATGTAGTCTTATGCTTAGATCATATTAATATATTATGTATGTATATGATTATATGAACCATATAGACATATAAAACAACTATATAGTAAACACTAAACAGTTTGTTGTATTCATAGAAAATATACTACGGCCCAGGAGAGAGCGACCTTATGGCTTATTCCGCGCATCGATACTGACGCTCGCGACGTCTGCCGGCCGAATTTTCTACCACTATGGTGCCGTTCCCACTACAAGGCAATGTGTATACAGCGGGTTATAATATTTTATGCCGCACATAACATATTATAACCCGTACTTATTTTTATAAACATAAAAAATATGATATGTGAGATATCATTATTTTTTTTATTTCATTACCCACATATTCTTATTGTTCCTAAAGGAACAGATCGTATAAACCGTATAAATATTAATAAAAAAAAAATGGCATAAGTATACACACATACATGATACATATTATATATTCAATATTTTTTTATTAAATATCATGGGTATATAATAATATAACTTATATAAAAAAAAAAGAAAAAATACAGCTGCACATTACAAATAATAATCATAGCAATGATAATTTACAAAGATATTATAATAATGTTAAAATTCGTCAATCACTGTTTTCTGAATCAGAAGTCGTCAATCCAGTAATTGTTAACAYGTGCGATTGTTCTTGTTCGTCCAGTATCTCATCAGAAATATAGTCTACCTGCCAAAATTTGTCCTCTTCCTTAATAGTGTGTGAAACAAAATTGGACCACATTTCAGGTGTCACTTTGTCTATACCATCGTTTAATAATTGCCGAACGTCATTTATCTTAAATGTTGTGTTATTATTTTTCACATGTCCTTTTACAACCGACCATGCCAACTCAATGGGGTTGAGTTCGCAGTGGTATGGAGGTAGACGTAGTACAATTTTGTTTTGGTTTTTGGCCTCTTYGTCAACCACGTACAAATCATATTTGTGTTTAATTTCTCGGACAGTTTTTAACAATTCAAATTTTATCATTGACGGGTTAGTCTCTACGCCTTTGGATTCGAGCCATTCAATTATGGCAGCCTTTTTCCAAGTAGAGGTAGGTGATTTTTCTGTTTTCACTGAATGGTACGGTGCATATTATCCATGACTATTACTGAGTTATCTTTCAATAAAGGTAAAATGCCACAGAACCATTCGAAAAATGTATCGCCGTTCATTTCGTCGTGATAGTCAGATGTGTTTTTTTTGGATTAAAAACACATAAGACCACCTGCGACGAAACCTTCGGCCGACCCTATGTGAACAACAATGAGCCTCTTGCCTTTTCCTGTTGGATTACGCGTCCCTGTAGTTAAGCCTTAAGCCTCTGAGGAAAGCATCTTGGTGTGATCACAGATTATATGAAAACAGATTGTGCACTAAGACGTAAACAAAAAAATGCCCTGATATAAATCTCCGCCAGAATCAATGTAACCATTTGATG